AGTATTAATAGAAATGCTCAATATTACAATTTATGTATTAACATGGGCAACATAGCATAATTTGCTAAATGCAATTCATGTTTAACTACATGGAATTTTCTGACATGTGCTAATATGATTACATCTTACAGATTTGAAGAATACCAGATGAACAAAAGCATCACAAATGAACCAGAACAGCCTTCAATCTCACAATTTCTGGACATCCATGTAGGGCAGTATAGCATGAGTCATCCACAGCAGAAAGCTATCACCAATTCAATATTGTCTGACTTGATTATTGGTTGCAACTTGCCCCTGTCTATTGTGGAAAATAAGAGTTTTCGGAACTTTCTGACAGTAGTGGACAGTAAGTACAGTCCAGTGTGTCGCAAAACAATGACTTCAAAAACAGAGAAACTCGCTGCAGAGAGACGTTTAATATTAAAAACTCAGTTGAGCAACACAGACCATTTTTCAGTCACTGTGGACATTTGGTCTGACCGAAAGACGAGGGGTTTCCTTGGTGTCACTGTGCACTGGATAGAGAAAGATATGGAGAGGACTGTGACCGCTTCAAAGGCTCACACACCGGTGACAGAATCTGTGAACAATTTGAGGCAATATGTGATGAATACAGCATTAAAGAAAAATTGGATTTCATCATTAGTGATAATGCTGCAAACATGTGGAAAGCATTCACTTATGCTTCCCCACTCCAGATGAGGTGCATGACGATGATGAGGATCATCTTGATGACCCAGAGCTGTGGCATGACGTATCCCTGGAAGAGCAGGAAACACTAGATGCTGCTATGGCAAAGAAACAGCGCTTGCAGTGTTTTGCACACACACTTCAGCTAGTGGTGAGAGATGGCTTAAAAGAAACTAAAGTAGCATCTCCTGCTCTTTCAAAGTTATCCAAACTCAGCTCACTGCTGCACACAAGCACAACATTTAAAGACGCTTTCGAAGCTGAATTTGGGGAACAAAAAAAGTATCCCTGCTGTTACCAACACAAGATGGAACTCAACAATGAGGCAAGTGAAGGCACTTCTGCAGTGTGATCATCCAAATCTTTGTGCTGTTCTAGAAAAGGCTGGGCACAAGGAGTTGTCATTCACAGCACGAGAGTGGAAACTGTTGAAAGAGATGGTGGACATCTTGAA